TGCACTCTAGCTGTCTCCTAATTCGCTTCATTGCTCATAGATCCTGGTTATACTAGGATCCTGGCTGAGCTTTGCTCCCGAGAAGGCATTTGGGAGTGATCGTGTCTACGGCCCTAGTAGCAGCGAAGAACCAACTGTCAACCAGAGCTTCGACAGGAGCGCCAGACAGTACAGCTGGAATCCCTCTCATGGTATCCTGGAATCTCATAGGATCCAGTAACCTTCGAGGGCGGACCATTAAAATAGGTCCATGCTGCCTGCGGGGAGGAAGCACCGCTGCGAGGTTACATTTTATCAGGTGGAATGATGATTTTCCACCATCATTGCTCTGGTCTCTCTCCCACTTCCTTCCTCATGCCCAGCTCTCTAGCAAACCAAGGAATGAGTGTGGCTGCACTTTGTGGGAGGAGAAGCTTTGGAGTGATCATGTCAATAGCCCTGGCTATTTCCCCATTCCAGAGGCCTCAACAAGATCACCTGCCAAGACAGCCAGCAACTCCCAAAGAGCTGTCAAAAAAGCATTTGCAGAACATGGCCCTGGGTAGGCCATTCTAATTGGCCCGCCACCACTCCAGAGGCTCAGAGTTCTAATCAGCCTAAACCTCACTAGGTAGGGATCTGTCCATAACAACAACAGAACCACTGAGAACTCCTCCACACCCAGATCATCACCACCCTGCCCAGTATAGAACAACAGCTCAAAAATGTGTCCTGGAACATGATTGGGCGCAAATACCACTTGGGACAGGCCCAAAGTTGTCACAGTAGACATGAAGTTCTGAGCTGCTTCTGATAAATTAGCCTCCATGCGTTGAAGTCCCCCAGCACAACAAGCTGAGGTGACTGGAACACCACACCTAAGACTAGTTCAGCCAGTTCAGGCAGGGAGATGGTTGTGTAGTGAAGTCGGCTGTAGACCAACAAAATCTCTATTCTGTCCTATCAGGCAGGGAGATGGTTGTGTAGTGAAGTGGGCTGTACACCAACAAAATCCCTATTCTGTCCTGGAGACCTACTTTCAGGTACAGGTACTCAAGCCCTGCAGCCTGTGGGACAGGGCAGCAAGTAATTATGATTGCATTTTGATAGGAAATTGCAGTTCCTACTCCCTGCCTCTCAGGTCTAGCCTGCTGCTGCAGGTGGACAAAGCTGGGAAAGACTAACTCCCCCAGCTCCATCCATCCAAGTCTCTGTAATGCAAGCCAGATCAGGATATTCATCTAGAATCTAATCCTGGATGTTAGTTGCCTTACCTTTCACTGACCTGGCATTCAGCAAAAAGCACGTTCAACCCAGAGGGGTTTGCAGTTAAGGTTATTTGAGTTAGGAGGCAATTTTGTGGGGAGGGCAATCAGTACTCTATTTTCTACCCTCCTGCTACAATGTTATTGATATCTTCCAACTCTATATCTTCCCCTGCCCTTGTTATTGTAATGGCTGCTCCTTGCACATCCCTCCTTGTAGCGAGCAGCCCTTCCCTCACCTGTCCATCACAGTAGAACAATGGAGAAGGAGCCAATGAGAGGATGGAAGGCGGAGCCAAGGGGGGAGGAGGCGGGATATAAAGGCTGGTGTATGGAGTATGAGGAGAGATTCTGGTAGTGAGAGGCAGGGTGAAACTTAAAAGTAAACTAAGAGTGAGTTAGAGATCTGTGAGGATGATGAAAGTAACAGAGAGTTAAAAGAGGTTTAAAGTTAAAGTAGAATTGATTCAAATACAAGTGATTAGCAACCTGTGATTTACCTATTGAATATTAATCAGATGTTAACTTCCCTGATCTAATAAATGACTTAAGTTTCAAAAGTACACATGTTTCCATGATTAAATGGTATTAAGGCAGTAATACCTGGAGGCAGCGAAGAAAGAAGAAGGGCGAGAGCCTAGTGAAGGCCTGGGGGATAGGGGCTTCAGGGGAGATCACCACACTCCTTAACAGACAAAAGATCTCACAGTAGCAAACAAAGTCAGGCAGGCGCAGGCCACATTAAATAAGTCCCCTCTTCCTGCGTGATCTTGTGGAATCAGGATTTCAAGCAGCTGATGAAGTGAACACAGAGCAGTAATAAGCATTTTCTCAGCTCCAGGCTGATAGATGTGCCATCAGCTCAAAATGCAGATTTTCTTGGTGACAGTTGCTATGTGAAATGTTATGAGATAGAAATTACTGTCATAATTAATAATAGGTAAAGGCTTTCCCTTTGATGTGCTAAATTCCACATTGCTTGATTGAGACTTTGAGGCTGTTTATTAGTGTAACTTCTATTTTGTCTTACTGGTTTGATTGCTATCCAGATGTAAACTTCCACAGGATTTATACAAAACTATTAATATTTTGGTTGTTAAGCAAACTTATTAATGAGATTATTAATGCACATTTAATTGTAAAACTTTTATATAGCAATCAAAATTTTAAACAAGCTTTGCATTGGCTGCCCATTCGTTTCCGCGTCAGTTTCAAAGTTTTAATGATTACGTATAAAGCCTTAAACGGTTTAGGGCCTTGATATCTGGCTGAACGCCTCCTCCCACCTAAATCTACCCATATCACTCAATCTAGTCAGGAGGTGCGACTGAGGAGCCTAACGCCGAGGGAAGCCTGGAAGGAAAAAACAAGAAACTGGGCCTTCGCGGCAGTGGCTCCTCGTCTTTGGAATAACCTCCCTACAGAGATCCGTATGGCCCCCTCACTGGGTATTTTTAAAAGTCAATTGAAAACCTGGCTGTTCAGGCAGGTCTCCCCTCCAGGCTCTACTTGATTTATTTTTTCTCTTTCTTTTCCATCTTGAATGATTATTTACTGTTGTTGTAAATCACTGTCACTTTTAACTTGTTTTATTTACTTGCTGTCAGCTGCCCAGAGTAGTGTATGACTAGATGGGCAGAGCATAAACAAACAAACAAAGGTAACAGTAACAAAAATGGTAGTTAACTATTACAGACCTATAACTGTAATAATTAACTTTAAAAGTAACTGAGGAGTGACTACATGGACATTTGTCCTACTGTTTTCTCTGCTGTGGCCTAGTATGCTTCTTTTGCCAGCAACCAGACAGTGGAAGTGAAAGCATGAACCAGCCTGGCCCCGGAAGGTTCCTACCCATACCTTTCTGTCTTTCTGTCAGGAACTACTCTTTTTTGGGTGAGGCTAGGTTTCCTCCATTTTGGTTCATTTCCAGTATGTTCGATCACTGGGATTGAACCGAAGCATAGCTTCCTATTTTAAATGTCCTATCTGGGTTCAGTTTCTGAGTATCATTAAGCTTGATGACATTGGGAAATTAAAAACTGTTTTTGCTCCTCTGTGGAGAGGCAGAGGGAAGAAATAAAAAAAGTTTTTAAAAAGTCTTTTAGGGCAATTCTGATGTACTGTATCTTTTAGACTTTTTTTTAAATTGAAAGCTTCCTCCCAGAGGGATGAGGGGACAAGGAGAATTTTTTATTTGTTTGGGCGCTTGAGGTGTACACACCTCAAGCGACCAAATACGGTCGCTTGAGGTGTGTACACCATGTGGATGTAAGGATTGCACCAAATGGCATACCAGATCTTTGTGTGACCTTAAGCAACCCTATTTAACCCAGTCCAGCTTGCCCCAAATGAGCCATCTAGATTAAAAGGCATTGAAAAAACTATAAACAATATAAGTAGTGGTTTAGAAAAAAATAAAACCACCCTGTAAGTTCATAGAAAGAACACTGAACACACTCCTCATCCATGGACTCTTTATGGTCATGGCCATAATATTAGCCATAATATTAACCTCTTACTGTCAGAGAAAAACCAAAAGTTCTATTCTTGTATTTTCAAAGGCTTTCACGGCCGGGATCTGATGGTTGTTGTAGGTTTTTCAGGCTGTTTGGCCGTGTACTGAAGGTTGTTCTTCCTAATGTTTCACCAATCTCTGTGGCCGGCATCTTCAGAGGACCTATATATAGTCTTCTTTTCTCCTCTCAGCAAGATTTCTCAGTACAAGCTTCTTTTTCGGTCTCCTGAGAAATGTCTCACAGGAATTATTCTCATATGTTTTGTGTGGTTTTTTCCTAAGGAAGAAACCTCAACTAATGTAGAATTATTACAAATCTTCCACAAAATGGCCGTTCTTCCTGTGCAAAATTATCTGGGAAAGGGCAAAAAGTTGCACAGAGTGTGGCAGTTGCTTGCAGAGGCAAAAAAAAATGGGAGGGGGTGACAGACTCTTCTTTTTAAGCCAGCAAATTTCACTGGTGTGATGAAGAGTCTCAGAGAGGAGTCTCAGAAAATCACAGATAATAAGATTTTTTTTCAGTGTTGTCCATAACCCTATTCTGGATATGGCTCAAATGGCAGGTATTTTCAAAAAACAAAGCCCTGCCAAAACCTTCCAAATGTAGTTAAAAAGAACATACAAGGAGGGCAGTTTCCTAGCCAAGTTCCCTGTGTCAACACTTCCGTCCCCCTCCCAATGACAAGACCAGCTTTCTGAAGAGAAGAACCATGTCTATACATAAGGGCTGTGAACTGGAAAATGGATGTTCTGAATCACTAGGAAAACGTCCTCACACAAAGGGTGAAAAAGCCACTGGCCACCTGATACAAAAGAGTGGGAAAAGCTGTACTGGGATGCAATCCCAAAAATGATAAAATGATTTCAATACAAATCCAAGGCAGGCCTTTCAAAGTCACAGTAAGCCAAGTTTATGCACCAACCACCAATGCTGAAGAGGCTGAAACTGACCAATTCTATGAAGACTTACAACACCTTCTAGAACTGACACCAAAGATGTTCTTCTTATTATAGGGGATTGGAATGCTAAAGTAGGGAGTCAAGAGATAAAAGGAACAACAAGGAAGTTTGGCCTTGGAGTTCAAAACGAAGCAGGGCAAAGGCTAATAGGGTTTTGTCAAGAGAACAAGCTGGTCATCACAAACACTTCCATCAACATAAGAGGTGACTCTACACATGGACATCACCAGATAGGCAATACCGAAATCAGATTGATTATATTCTCTGCAGCCAAAGATGGAGAAGCTCTATACAGTCAGCAAAAACAAGACGTGGAGCTGATGGTGGCTCTGATCATCAGCTTCTTACAGCAAAACTCAAGCTTAAACTGAAGAAAGTAGGAAAAACCACTGGGCTCGTCAGGTATAATCTAAA